TAATAACTTATCAATCTTCTTGAAAAACCTTAAAGGTATTAAGAGGGGAATCCTCGTATGTATCAGTCTTGAAGTAATATTAATTTTTCCCATAAACTGGCTAGGATTTTTAACTATCTATTTAAATCAATATTAATATGAGATGAAGACTCTGATACATTTATATCTACAAACAAAATTACCTTAGGATAATTATTCCAAGATATTTAAGTGAATCTAAACACCAAGTAAAACAATGTTTACAGATTTCCATAAATATATCAGAGCTTACAGGATATACGAGACTTACTCTAGTTAATAGAGTAACCTGATAATGTAACCAACCATTTATTATTAATATATTTGGGTATATAATTTTCATAATTTAGAAAAGTTTGTACTCAACTCCATCCACTTTTATACCCAAAATATCCTATAACATACAAAGAGATAATGGGCATCCTTGAAGATTCCAAGAAATATCTTGATGAGGAAATAACTCTATTTGTATTGACACTGGCTAAAGAATTAGAATATCATATTTTAATCCAATTAATAAAAAATTCATGTTTTGCCAAGATATAGCCCCAAAATTTTCACTGTACCATATCAAAGGCTTTGTCTGCATCGAACAAGATCCGATTATTTCAATTTTTCTCTGAAATAAGCATTAACACTATATCTAAGGTTTGTTGCCCCTTTACAAAACCAGATTGTTCAGGATCAACAATCAAATGTAACATTGTAATCTATGTGACAAGATTCACTGTCAAAATTTGGCATCAACATTTAAAAAAGAAAATTGTACAATAGTTTGCATGGCCAGCAGAATGTTTGGTGGCCTTCAAAATCACAGCTATATAAGCTTCATAAAATGAAGTAAAAAAAAAAACTTTATTAAAAAAAGCATCATCGAAAACTTCCAACAATATAAGAGCAAAATCTGTGTTTCTTACACCACTGAAAAGGATAACCATCAGGACTGTGAAGTTTTCCTGTTTTCACAGATTTAATAATATTTATTATTTCCTGGAGACACAAAGGTACAGCTAGAAAAATTGTTTGGGCATGTTTAATGTTTGGACATGTTTCAAATGAGAGGCCAATAATTTACCAGGTCTTTCACCAGCTCCAAAAATCATTGATTTGATTCAATGAACATTTTACATTACATAAAGAGAATTACATTTTAGTTCAGCAAACATAAAATACATAAATTATATTGTTCTGGTGTAGGTTCTCTTTCATATCTACTCAAAAGTTCCTTAACTTTATTTTTGAAAAGTTGTTTAGGTGTTTTTCTTCTTCTTCCATAAAACATATGCAAAAATACAATCACTAATATATCTTTAAAGCATCCCAAACAACCAGTAAGTTTTTAGAACTTTGATTTTAAAAATCTTCAGAACCATATTCCATCTGTTTCTTTAATAACACCAGTGAGATTACTTTTTTTAAATAATAATTGATATTACTGAAGAGTGATCAATAGAGCTTATATTACATTTGTCTATCCATTCAAATAAGGACTGAGATAGTAAAAAAGTAATTGTTGGAAACAAGTTTTCTGAGGTGGAGTTAAAAAAAGGGTATTCCTGCTATGAAGGAACCATACATAGGATGTTCTTAGTGACCATGTTCTGCATTGTAGCTGTCCATCTTATTTGGAAGGAACAAGTAAGATGATCACAGATCATCTTAGCATTCAGACAGATAAATATGAGAGGAAATATTCCTTCAGTCTCCTGGTCACAAACCATGTATGGTTTTAAATGTCAAAAGAAGTATCGCAAAATGTATTAAAATCCTGTCAGATAGAAAACTGTGTAAACTCGATTTCTCTCACCCAGTAACCCCAAGATTGGAATTATTAAACTGCTAATCTTTATAAAACTATGGAGAACACATACTGAAGACATTTCCAGGATAAATTCAATTCAGTTAATTTGTAACATTAACTTCTTTCTTTAAAAATGTGGTTAATCCATAGACAATGCCCAGGTGATACTTTATGTCAGGAACAGGGTACCTATGGTTTTCCAAATGTTGCTGCACCACTAGCATCCTTCATCACTCATGTTGGCTGGAGCCCTGGGAGATATTTTCCAGTAATATTCAATGGGCCATATATCTTGATTCTTGCTATATATTAGCTGAAAACCAATCATCTCCCCATGATAAAGGAAAGCACACACACAGCCACAACCCAAGAGACTGCCTGGAGATATACACATAATTCAGAGGGGTCATTTCATAGATGGATTATGTGACATCAAGTCATTTTCAATTCCTAGCAACCACATAGATTTTCTCCTTCTCATAGATGGAGGGCCATTATAATACACATCTTACTTACTGCTTTTATTTTAATCATAAAGTGAACAAAATTTCAGTAGCATCAAATCCACAAGCTGCATAGGTGCTCTTATCAAGAGAGGAAGATTCTCAAGTATTTTAAGCCCCAAGGCCTGATCGCACTTGCCACCTATGAGCGGATTGCCTATAGATGTAGACTTTGTATGGACAAATATAATGAAATATGGAACTAATTTATGCAAAATACAGTAGATTAAAGACAAATGATCATTATATACATGTATTAGAAATAAATATATATGTACTTGAATTATATTTGCACTAGATAGGTATACATAGAATTGTAACAGTTGTAATTTATTTTTATTTATATTTCAAATTTAGATACCGCCCATCTCACAAAAAAGTAACTCTGGGTGGTTCACAATAAAACAGCAATAATTAATTAAAATACAATAAAAACAATACAAAGTACAATAAAAATAGAATAAAAACCAGACACATAGGCAAGTAATATCTTCCAAGATGTTGATCAGTAAGATGTTAATATATGAGAGCATCTTCAAGGTGCTAGCCACCCCCAGGGTTGGTTGCCCCTTTTTTCGCCCCATGCCAGTTGGCAGAGCCAGGTCTTGGCTGCTTTCTGGAAGGACAAGAGAGTTGGGGCCTGCCTCACCTCTTGGGGGAGAGTATTCCATAGGGTGGGGGCCAATTACGTATGTGTAATTATATACTATACTTTGTTTTTTCTCCTTTGCTCACCCTTTTTTTAAAAGCACTTTTTATGTGTTTTGAGAATGTATGTATTTGCATTACAATTATTTTTGTGCTTTTTGCTTTGTTATTTTAAAATAAAATTAAAAATAAATTTTAAAATCCCCATGCTCAAATAAGTACTGCAGGTTGAACTACAACAAACTATGGATCAGTGCAATGTAAGAGTTCAGTTTTAATGTTAATTAGCTCTGGAAAACAAACATTTAATCTCTACTAAGTTACTATGAGCCTTGGACAATCATCTCTCAGCCAATTTTTATCACAGCCTCGTTGCAAGGCTATGATGGGAAACAGGATAACCCTGCATATCATCTTGAAGTCTTTAAAAGAAAGACGGAATATAAATGTAGTTAAAAACCTAAAAAGAAACATACATCTATCAACTTATTCTAGGTTAAGTTCTGGATAAATTTTTCAAATTAAATTAAATTTACAACTGCACTGGATTATCTTGGGATGAACCATATATGCGAAGAAACCCCTCTCACCACCATTCAAGATCTGCATAGTTTCTTTCTCCTTTGCAAGTTAGTCCATGAAATGAAATGGTATTATGGTGCTCAATTTCACATTCTGTCCTTTTGTATTTCCATGACACAAAAAATTGTACATAATCGTCAACAAACTTGTTTTCTTTTGATTAATTTCACATATGTACAACATGAATCCATGCAATTACTTTGTTTTAACACAGCAGACAAATATAGTTGTATGTTCTTAAAACTGTGGTTGCCTACAAGTTTTCAGCAAAAAGAGTTACTTTTTTGTGAGATGGGCGGTATCTAAATTTGAAATATAAATAAATAAATAAATAAATTAAAAAATGGGCTACAATTCAGAGAATACTAAAGTGCAGTTAGAAAGCTAATAAACAAATCTATCCCCAAAGAACTTAGGAATCAGTATAAGAGGAAGTGATATCAGTGGCCGTGCAAGAGAGATGGTCATCATACAAACCTAGGGCCTTTTTTGCTAAGCAAAAAAGTATTATGGTATAGAAGCTGAGAAACAACATTGCCTACATTATAGCTGCTGCAAATAGGAGCCCCAAAATTCTAAACCTAAATCAGGAAACAACTTTCAGAAGTATTCATCAGGGATAAAATATGTGGTGTATTTTATTACATGGTTCATAGCTGAACAAGAATGGAGCACTCTCACTGAAACAGTTTAAAGCAATTTAACAGGGAAAATCAGGAATTCCATGAATTGCCTGCTTATCCTTAGGCATGATATAAAATAACAACAGCAGCAAAAGGATACTTCCTCAGGTCAAGCTTGACTCCTGATGCTATATGAACATGTTCATGTAGTTTTCTTTGCAACAGAATAAAAGGGGTTTGCCATTATCATCTGTAAGGATGATTATTTAAAAAACTCTCCAGTCTACTCTATAGCCCTGGAATTTCCTGGTGGTCTCCCATCCAGTTACTGATCAGGTCCAACACTTTGTCTTTTGGGATCAGCTAACATCAGCTAGGTGCTGCCACCTGCTGTGGGCAAAACAACAAAACCTTTTCAATATAAATTCTATTGCTAGCTTCAGAAGGACTTAAATTTTCAGTAGATTCAGGGGAAAGTAACATATGAATAGCTCTAATTATAAACTTAAGCTATTCCAGCAAGTTAAGTAGTGCACTATGGTAGACCATTTTTGCCCCATATTTATCATTTCCACTTCTGATTTAAACAGTGCTTCAGAGAACCTCTTGCATTTTGTATTTAATGCAATCCTAAACCAAAGCAGCATAATAAATTTCTCTTTTATAAACTTTGGAGAAGTACTAAAATTGCAGCTAATAAATTCAGGGCAGAGAGTAGATGCTAACATTATTCCTAATGGTGTTTCAATTAGCCAGTGCACTCTATTACTGAGGAATACCCATAAAAATTCAATCAGCGATATCCCCATCTATAAACATGGGAAAGGGAAAGACATGCCTGATTAAAATCCTCTTACACAAAACACAGGAAACTGGTGCCCTCCAGATATTTTAAACAACAACTCCCACAATCCTTTGCTATTCGCCATACTAACTGGGACTGATGGGAGATGAAGTCCAAAACATCTGGAGGGCACTTGATTGCCTTTCTCATCTTACATAGCCTGAGCTCAGAGTACTGAGTCCATAGTTTGCTCTTCCTCGGTCAGCCCCTGCTCTACAGGTTGCTTGCTCCGAGTAGCAGCAACCAACCCGAGTGCAATCGCTTACTCAGATCGTTGAGGTGAGAATGCTTCGGAATGGAAAGTGCTCGGCCCAGATATGGCCTAGCTCCAGCTTCCCGCGCCCTAAGTTCATGAGAAGTAAGACTGGCTCATTTCCCGCAGGGAGCACTTTTCCCTGGCAGCGGCCCCGCCCGTGCACGCCAGGAGTCGCCGCTTCCCCACCTCATACACACCCCGGTGCCTCAGCGCCATGAAGAGGCAACCCCGGGGAAGAGGACAGACGCCTAGGGGTCTTTCGCCAGGATTAATCCTTCAGAAAAGAGATTTGGCGTCAAGGCCCCCAGTCCTGGAAGAAAAGGGGCCGGAATGCGGCGCAGAGGTCAGACCGAGTGATGAAGGGCCCGGCGAAGCAAAGGCGGCCCACGGCTTCTGGGTGTAGTCAGCGGGCCGAGGACCCGTCGCGCTTACCTGCACCGAGATGACCGGCTGACATGTCTGGAGTAAAGGCAGCCGCTCCGCCCTCAAGCTCCCGGCTCCATAGCGCCCGCCGCGAGTGAGGGGAGAGAGAAATCGAGCGCTCCGCTCAGGTCTCCCTGGACACTTCCGGCCGTGTTAAAAAACTCACGCCCGAAAACCCGACATTCATCCCACACAACACGCACGCGCCTTGACAACATTCCCTGCCGTGCGAAAGTTCTTTCTACCCTCGACGCTCGTTCTCAGCCGGAAGTACGTATGAGCGTGACATTTCCCTCAGAAGGCGGGGGGAGGAGGAGGATTTTGAAAGTTTTGCGCTCTACGCATACGCCGTTCTCTTTGCTCGGCCCTCTTCCTTATCCCCTGGGTATCGCATTTAAAGGAGCCGGATTTGTTTTGAATCTTGATGCCTACAGCTACCGCTCCTCACTTGCCCCGCAAAAAGTCGCTGACATTAAATTCCCAACCATGAAATCGTGACACCACAAGCAGGCTCCAGTGCTGACTACGGATAACGGGGATCTGCTGCCCAACACATCTGGAGAGGGCAAGGTTGGGGAAAACGGACTACATTATAACGAATGCAAGACAGACCAACGGCCTAACTTCGCTGTCACTCTTGTCACGGTTTAGTGCAGTGCTTCTCAACCTCAGCAACTCTTAAGATATGTGGACTTCAACTCCCAGAATTCTCCAGCCAGCCATGGGAAATGCCTCCTGCACAGAGAGGATTTTCACTGGAGGAAGAAAATAAAGTGATTGCCCAAGCTTACTCCATCATGTCAATAAGAGGCTACTTTATCTGCTTTACTAGTGCAGGAAGGAACATGGGCTTGTTTCCCTACTCATGAGGAACTGGAAGGTGCCACCTCAAGCAGTTGGTTTAAGGTATCTTAAAAGAACAGCGAACGTGATTATATTTTTACTCCCATGGATTTTTTTCCTAGAACTAGCCCTACCCTTGAGTTAATAAAATACATACCAACAGCTGTTGAAATGATTTGAGTTATGGACTCCTGGACAATAGTGGTTTAAAGCAGTAAGAGTTATTTGGTATGCAGCTTTGTTATTTACAAATTTCTTAAAGAGAGGATTACCATCGGAGTGTATCGAGGATTCATTTCAGTAGCATCTGGCAATAATAATGCTAGCTAGCTTGCACTGACTCTGTGATTTGATCCCCACATGCTTAGGCAAGAAAGTTAATGAAGAGTGATTCTTCAAGATGCTAGAAATGTCTAGAATACTGAAATTGTTTTTGAAATCTGTAAATTAGTCTTCAAAATCATGTATCAGAAGGAAGACATCACTATTAAATCTTAGCAATGGCTTGGCTATATGCTGCATTCGTTGGTTTTTGTTTTTGTTTTGCTATAACAGTGTTTCTCAACTTCAGCAACTTTAAGATGTGTAGACTTTAACTCTCAACATGCTGGCTGGGGAATTCTGGGAGCTGAAGTCCACATATCTTAGAGTTGCTGAGGTTGAGAAGCACTTGTTTAGTGATTACAAAATGAAATAGTAGGTATTTCAGAGCTACACCAATAAATTGGACTTACTTGGGGAAATGTGAAAAATTGCTCACTGTTCTTCTAGCACAGTGTTTTCTTGCCGGGCAGCAAGATTATTATTTGTGTATAAAATGGAGATATATTAAAGTACCCACAATGGAAGATAAAAGAACAAGTAGAACGGTATTTTGTGGAATACTAAAGCTTTTATAGACGTTTTGCTGAAAATGGAAAGAGCTAAAATGATTATTTTTTTCATGGACAATTGAAAAAGTGTTGAATAAGAGGACAAAGGGATTATTATGTTTGAGGAGGAGGAGGAATAACAACTTTGATTGTAACTGCTGTAATGAAGGTCAGAAGTCACTTCTTTTATTGTCTTTTTTTCCTTTTCCTTTGTTTCCTGCAGTTTTTCTTTTTACTTCTTTCCTTCTTTTATATATTTCTTATTTTTCTTTTATTCAAGTAAAAATTCACAGTGCAACAATGGAACCCCTCCTTGCAGCCAGGCACAATGGCACTGGAGGAGCAATCTCTGAAGGCATTTCCCACCCACTCACCCCCAATTCTGGGCACTCAGATGATCTGCACTTTGGATTGCACTGTCCTTATGTGCTAGAGCATCATGACATAGTGCTGTAACACGCTGTGATGCTGACCCTGCCAAATGAAGGTAGACTCCACTGTCAGGAAGGCACCCATGCTTGCACTACAGTTTTGCTGAGCCATGTGAGACTAAGACAATATCCTAGGGAAGCCCCATAGAAATGGGATCTCTCTAAGAATTCCAGTCTTCTGCTTGATAGCTTCAGCACCCACGGTCATATGTAGAAGGGGCAAAAGTTTGTCCATGATGATGTTGCCCTGATAATTCCATTTTACGTCTCTCTAGATGGGGCAGAAGTAAGTAGATTTGAAAAATGAGTGTTACATGACCCAACCATGGTTTATCATATGCTGCTGGCATACAAAAATGACCCCTATGGACTGGGGGAAGGATTGGTGGGTCTTTAGTGAAATGCAAACATAGCTAATTAAAAGACTCACATATGTGAGATGGGTGGCTATATAAATTTACTAAATAAAATAAACATTTGGAGAAAAACAAATGTTATCTATAACCGCAATTAATCATTTTCCTGACATTATTAACTTGGCTTATAAATTTTGACTGAGGACTCTGATTGATGTAAAAATATATTTAATATTAATTACCGAGTTCCGTTTCATTTAAATATGTTCTCTGATTTATCTGCCATTGTTCAAAATTGGATTTCCTGCTTCAGGAGGACTATAAATTTGCTGTTATAAAACAAATAATAAATGTTTATTACTATTTTAAGCACATCCATGTCAAATAAGGTTTTAATTCTTCATAGATTCGTAATAAAAGTAAAAAGCATTTATTATGTGAAAAAATATATTATATTAAAAGATAACAAAAATATTGAACAAAGTAAAATCCTACTCAGAACTACAAACACCTGGATTTAGTGGAACTTTTTCCCAAAGTACCAGTCCTATTTTGATAGGGGATTGTAGCACTGGCTTCCATTTTAATGTATTATGTTAAGCCATAAAGGTCACTTAATGGTGAATACGCCTGTACACAATTGCTGATTCAACCTGTGATTGCAGATAATGGAACTGTCATTTTTTCCATGTAAAAGAAGCTAGCTAATGAGGAAATTACTTAACTAAAAATACACTCTGGCTTTGTAAAGCCAAACTTCCACATTCTTATCCTCTTTGAAGCTTGGCTAAACCAACCATGAATTGCACATAGCCTCATCCATTTAGGATTAGTAAGTGGGGCATATGTTCATCTGAAAGACTGAGCCACAAGTGTCTAACTGTGCACAATGGTTCATTCAGTCAGTTATGGTTCCTTTGGATCACTAACTGGAAAGCAGTGTTTCAAAATAGTATCCTTTATATAACTCTGCACTCCTCAATCTTCCCTGGATTCTCAGATGGTTCTGTGTTAATTTCAAAGATGAAAAGTAAACTGTGCATGCCTGAGTATACATGGATGTAACACTGATTCTACAAAGAATCAGAGAAAGATGTATTAGCTCTGTATAAACAGACTTCCCTTAATTCCTTCTTTAATACTATTTTATTCTCAAGGATTAAGGGTAAACCTTTGCTGTCTTGTTTTCCAATAAGCCTTTGATGAGGTCTCTCATGTGCCTAAGTTTTTTTTCATATAAAATCAATAGTACTTTTATTTGTAACAAGTATGTACCAGATCTGCATAACATAAGCAAGTTCTTAACTTCCCATTTTTCTTCACCCTTTCTTGGATATAGTCTTTAATTCTGCAGTGAATTTATCCTTTCATTTTTGCATCAACCAGTTTACAAATTTTTGACAGGAAATTACAAGCCCCTGTCAGTTAAAGCATTGTCAGTCTGGAAATTACAAGTCTGTGCCAGCTAAACCAAGCAAAGATGGTCTGGTTTCACAAATCCCTACCACTTAAGATAGTTGCTGCCTATTATAGCAATGTTTTGATAGAAAATCATAAATCTTTTATGAACTAAAGTATAATTTATGAAAGCACACCTCTCTATCAGTGATTGTGGCATGAAATCTGAATACTAGGCTACTTCAATAACTATATATGGTATTTGTTTGATTTATATTCTACTTTTCCTCCAGGATTACTTAATTCTACTTTTCTTCCAGGATTACTTAATCCTAATCCTCCAGGATTACTACAACTATCTGCTGCAAGGTAAACCAAACCAATGTTTGTCATGCAAAATCAGATGCCAGTATTTGTGGTATGAAAACAAAAAATCTCTTTGAGCTAAATCTGTATTTGCTGTATTAAATTAACCAGTATGCAACTTTTATGACTTTTCTCTCTCTCCCGTTCTAGCAAACATACAAACTAGTCATTCAAACCACTGATGTCACTTTCTGGCCATTTTCAGTAGGCAGGAAGGGCAAGGAAGCATTGTTCTCAGAGCCTAATGTTATGCACTGCCCATTTCTCCTACATGGACCATTACCAGCCCTTGGTGGTGCTCAAATCCTGGATATATCTGATAGTTTTTCCTTCTAGCCAATTTAATTTTTTAAAAAATCAGATACATCTTTATTTGAAGAATATAATGAGCCATATTGCTGTATTGTGACCTATGTCTACCATGAAAAGCAAGTAAGGTGGTTAGGTCAGCATTTCCCAATTTAATACCCTCCAGATTTGTTGGGATGTCAGTTTCAAGAATTCCAGCTGTGTGACTGTTCAAAGCATTTGGAGGAAGCTAAGCTAAAACAGCTGTGTTAGCTAAAACAGAATATCTCAAGATACCAGGGAAATGTGAATAGACATACTGGTGTATACCCATGAGTCAAGCTCAGCTCCTGGTGACACATTCATTCCTTTGGTAACAGTATCGAATTGGTTTACTATTGCCTTCTGGCATGTTTATTTGACTATCAACAGAACTGCAGGTAGTAATTTCTAATCAGAAAGATATGAGGGTGCAGTATTAAACTAATCTGGATACCCCATATTTAGGCTTCTAAAGACCAACAAATGAAAAAAAAATCCAAAGAAATCAAGATTTAAGCTTTATTCTATTGGTATTTTCTGTTCATAAATGTTATCTAAGGAAACTGCACATGTACTTTATAACTGTGAGACCTAATTGTGCTTAGTGATTTCTGTGTACACTAAGATAGAACTTTCAGCTCATCCACTATCATCCTTATGCTGCAACTTTATGAATTTGCATCTTACTATTTAGTTAGAAAGTGGACTAATTAATGATTCAGAATACTGAACACTAGAAAAAGAAAATCTCTGTGATTATGTGCCATCAAGTCGTTTTTGACTCCTAGCAATCACATAGATTTTCTTCATGAAAAAATCTCTGTAGAATCTTATAGAATCTAAGATCTTCATAAAACTTTGACTCCATAAAATTTTGACTGAAAAATACTACATTCAAATTTGGGTAGGTTATATCTGTATTTTAGAACAGTTACCAGGCACTAGATGGCACTGGGTACCTGATCATAGAATTATGCTAGATTTCAATGTTGTTGTTTTTTAATCCTGGGAAAGAAAGTAATGATAAATTTAAACAAGATAATGAAGGATAAGGATATTTTTGTGACAAAAATGCTCAGAATAGCTAACCAATGTTCTTTCAAGTGATAATATTTGAACGTGCAAGCTAGCTATTGAGGAACAACAACAGAATGAAGGCAAGCCCTTTCAAATTATGGATTTGGAGACAGAGTACCATGCACTAGAAAAAGAACCAATATTTCACTTGGAGGAAATTAAAATTGACTGCTTCCTTGAGGTGATCAGTAAGCAGAAAGTCCCATTTGGATATGTGATCCAAGATGATGGCCTAGAAAAAGATTGCCAAGGATGAAGGAAGTAAAAGAAGGGGAAGACAACAGTTAAAGCAATAGGAAATATCAGAGAGATTACTAGATTATCCTTAGAAGAGTTAGGGATTATCCAGGAAACTGGTTGAGATGGAAGTATTTGTCTGCTTAAATACTAGGTGTTGGCCCAACTTGATGGCACCTAACTGATCATGGAAATTTGCTTAAAACATAAAAGTACTGTAGAACAAAATAGTAAAAGTGCTGAATTTGTAACAAATATATGTTAATTTTGTAAAAGAAAAATTATAGCATTGCATTTTAAATTACCATCTTCTCCATGCTTTCCCAAGTGCTATACTATTTTAGCTTTTTCCTTAATCAGTATCTTTGTGCGGGAATTTAAACTGGAAACTCATTTCCCGCCACATAGCATTCATTTATCTACAAATATACAGGTTATGCATAGGAAAACAAGCAAACTTTGCACTGAATAAAAAACTGCTAGTCTCTCAAAGAGCATCAACTTCCAAAACAGGGAGCATGCTAAAGTCCACTCTGTCATCATGGCCACAATAAAGCTACTCACACTATTTATTTCCACCTCACATTCAAACATACGACATGTAATTGGTAATAGCTTCAGTCATCAAAAGCCTTTGAAGCATAGTACCTCCCCTTTGTCTGAGTGGGCTAGGGCAGGTATTTTCAAACTTCTTTAGGCCACGCAACCATTTAGTTAAAAAAAAATTCCCAAAATCCCTGCTGCCTACCTCTCAGACACAGAGCAATGAGTTATCATGAGCCCCTGGGGAGAGACTTCTGAATGTCAGCTGACAAGCCCCATTCTTTCTGCTGTATCTTAGGAAAAAATGTTATGGACACCACCAATCAGCCTGCTTTCAAGTAAACTCTTTCCCTCTGTTAGTCTCTTACAGAATCCTATTAGGTCCTTGCAGAACCCTAGGGTTCCATGGAACATAGTCTGAAAAAACGGGGCCTAGGGAACAGCATATGCTTGCCCCCTTTGTCCAGCTGACTACCTGTAAGAAGGGGGGGGAGGAAGGAGGGAAGGAGGTTGGCTTGATAGACGCATCCATGCCCCACCTATTTATTTTATTCATATCTCACCGTTGCACATTGTGACTGTCCCACTTACTACTATTCGGACTCATACATTTAAAGACTAACTTTAGAGAAGTTTACCTTTTATTTGCAAACATAGCAAGAAGAATTCTAAAGAAATAAATGTAAACTGACCAGTAGCAGAAGTCAGACTGGGAAGATGTTTTAATAGAGATTTGTCAAATATTTCTTTTTTTTATTACATGCTCCAATGCACATCAGAAATAGAAATAATATGTAGTCAACAGAATAAAGGAACTAGAATTGGTATGTCTTCTTTTATCAAGATAAACACTGAAAAAGCAAGATGAATTGTTTTTAATTTACCTAAAAAAAGAAAATTAGTTTGAATTAACTAGACCTAAACACCACAGAGCCCAGATGTAATCCTTTCATCTCCAAAATTGGATTATAACATCTTCATGCTAAAGCCCTTTATTTGAATCTTTTTGTTAAAATATGACAAACGTCAGATGTTATATGTGGGTCGAAAGAAAAGTAATGCTTCCAATGTTATAAATTGCCAACAGATGGCAGTACTGATGTACTAGAAGCTCTGATGTGTTCCTTAGCATCTGTTCTTTCACTTCAGTTGGGAAGAAACTGTTGTAAGAAAAGGTTGCATTGTTATTTGTGAAATGGAAGTCTGCAGTAAGTACTCAGCAATGTGCTTTAAGCATTGTGCCCTGACTGAATTTTTGACTACCGAAAGAGTCCCTCCAATTCACTGCTGAATCAGGTTGTTTATGTAATGACTATGTTGATGTAAGTACTGTGTGTTGTTAGGTCAAAAAATGTAAAGATGATGGACCTGGAAGAGCTGATTTATGTGATCAAGAACAAAGTGAACAACTTGTGACAGTAACGGACAAGTTTCACTAGGAACGGTTGGTGAACTGATTAACTGGCAGATAACTCAAAGAGAAACTGCCATCAAACTTACCATTTCACAGGAACATATGAACTACATTACTGATATTCAATATTGGAAGATTTGTGCATGCTGACAGCAGAGATAAAAACTTCAAAAATTAAAATTTGACAGCAATTGTCACATTATGAAAATGAAGGTGAGGAATTTCTTCAAGCATTGTCAGTGAAACTTGAGCTCATCATTATGACCCGCAAATGAAGCATCAGTCCATTGAATATCATCACAGTTTCACCTGTGGAAAAAAAATTCAAATCCCAGGCTTCAGCAGGAAAACTCATGGTTACAGTGCTGCTGTTCATGTGTTATTCACATGAATTTCCTTGAATATGGCACCACAATCAGCTCCGAGCACTACACTGTAATTGTCAAAACTTTGAAACAATGATTAAGCAATGTTTGGAAGCACAAGGACATTTTGCTGCAACATAACAATGCTAGGCCTCACACCTCAGCCCAGATGCAATTGCAAAGTTGAATCTCACAATCTCACCAGATCCACCACACTGTCCAGACTTGGTGCCATGCAATCTCCACCTTTTTCCAAAATTGAAGGAATACATTTGTGGGTATCTGTTTGATTCAAATGAAGAGATGAAAAGGCCTGTGAGGACCTGGTTGAAGAGATAAAATATGAAGTTCTTTTGTGATGACTTTAAGAAGTATACCCACCCTTGCCAAAAGTATGTACCAAATGGCAGTAATTACATGGAGAAATAAATACAGATAACAAAAGAGTTCATTTCAAGAATTATTTTCCTGTTTCATTTATTATAATATCCTTATTTAAACTAAAGCTGTAGAGGTGGAGGATTACTTTTCAATGAACCCTAATAGACCCTGTTTGAAACACCCAAGGTCAGCCAGGTGCAATACTGTAAATAAATAATTTTAAAGAAAATTTGTTTATTTACATAGATTTGTACATATTTACATACATTTAAAGAACACCCAGCTCTGGACCCTTTACATAATAACAAAACCAGAAAAATAAAAGAAACAGATGATATGCATCCAGAAAAACCATACAAAACAGACTAAATTTTACAGGGACTCACCCACCACCCTGACCCAAGGCTTAGGATGTAGTCAGATTTTCAGTGTCTTTCAGAATATCATCAGGTAGGAGCTATAAAGATCTATGGGGAATATTATTTCAGGGGACAGGTACCATATCCAAGAAGGACACACTAACCCCATCCAAGCTCCACCAAAGATGATCAACAAGTGTGATCAATGCCAGCTCAGTACTGTATCCTGGCCTGAAACCCAATTAGAATGGGCCCAGCTCATCCATTTCCTTCTGGAACTGTTGCTTGACAACTTTTTCAACAACCTTCCCTAAAAAGGAAGGTTGAAGACTGGACAATAATTGTCCAGAATTGTGGGTCCAATGATGACTTCTTAAGGAGGGGACATACTACCGCATCCTTCAGCATCTCAGGGACCACCCTCTCTCTCAAAGAAGCTAATACCACTGTGGACCCAACCACAAGTCACCTCTCATGCAGTTTTAACCACCCAAAAAGGGCCTGGCTCTAATACAGGTACCCAGCTCACAGTCTGAAGGACCTATCCACTTGATCAGGATAAAAAAATAAAATTTAAAAAGAGCAGCAAGCATAAGTGTACCACATTCTTTATTCTACTTGCGCTAAATTGTATAGCTCTTTAGAAGTGATATTTTGTTAATTAGTTTTGCCAGTTTTAGGGCTAATCTCTAACACACATAATATGAGTAGTTCTTGTAATTGTATCCCAGTCCTATTACCTATAAATTAATTATCTTTCTCTCTTCCAATAGGCAGTTCATTAGGTTGGGTTAGCAAAGTGGGTTAGTGTAGATAGCAGAAGTACTTTTCACTTCAGCCATATTTGGGAAACCTTGTTTTCAGGAAGGCTAAAATTGATATTAAAAAAAATCATAGTTGTTCAAATTTAATTATGAGTCTCTGTTCCACTGTTCTACAAGTGTACAGAAAATAAACCAATTATAAAACTTGTACAAAATTGATTAAATTCTAATCTTATTTTCTTTATATTTAATTCTGATAGATTATAAGACAAAGACTGTAGGGAGAATGTATCTGACCTTTCTGCTATTATTTTGCAGACATGGAGGAACCTACAACTTGACATACCTTCAGCTCTCAGACAGTATATTTAAATCAATTGCCAAACAAGAGATAACTGCTAGTTAGCAGGCAAGCAGACCTATTATGATTGTAAAAAGGTAAACTGTAACTAAATATGGCCTGTACTATCAATCAGAATGGGCTTTTTTAAAATTTACAGTTTCTAGCTCTACAGACCTTTCCCTTCAGAAGCTTCATTCTGTACAGTATGTGGACAGGTTAATATCATGTTTTGCTGTGGATTAAATAAAGACTCCCTTGAGTCACACTGTAGCTTCGGTTAATTTAATAGAAAGCATTTAGATCTGGGAGGGGTCAAATTGTTTTATACCTATTTAAATGGTAACTTGTAGATGTATATACCATACCATCTTTCTTACATAACTCAAGGCAGTCTATATAGTACTGTCTGTTTTTCTTTTCCAACAATACCATGCAGTAAATTAGGCTGAGAGATAGCAACCAAGCCAGAATTACCCAGTGAGCTTCCGTGGGTGAGGGCAAGTTTGAACCTGGACATATCAATTACACTGACCTTAAAACTGATCTTTAATCTCAACATTACTGGGTTAAAAAAAAGGGGGGGGGAATCAACTTATTCTTGCATAATAATCTTCCTCTGTAATAATACCAATTATAAAGTTCACATGTGATACATATTATTTTGCTATGGTCCCTTTCCCATATATTCCCTTAATATAAAGCATGGCTAGGATGATATATCATGCTAAAGAATTATTGCTTAACGGTGGTTTATTGATTAAACCATACGTGGTTGGGTTTGCATATCACATTATAAAGAAACAAATACTCTAAGTTTAGTGCAGTATGTGAATCCAGGCAGTGTTTGCAAATTCTCCTCTCTTTGCTTTGATTATAAGAAGGCTCCATTGGTCATATCATTCTGTCTGTGGACTTACATTTAGAAATTTTTTGTAGCAAATATTCTGAAGAAAAGAAAACTACATATAAAACTGCTGCAGCTCAGCAGGTGACAGCAAAAGGACACTGACCTTCCAATCCTTACTAAACAATTCTGTTCTTTTTGTAGGTCAGACAGTAAATGAAGCTTCCTCAGCATACTGTTATATTACAGGCTTACATGAAGGCCATTTTGGCTGTCCTGAGATTGTTCCCTGAAACAATTACAGTACTTAAATAAATCAGATCCAGTCTTTTTCAGATTGCATCCAGAACAATTATTATCTAAATGGCACAGATTCCATTGAATATAACACTGGTAAGACCATTTCAAACTGAAACTACCATTTTAGATCAGACCACTAGTTACTCATTGTTTCTTGAAAGAACTAGATACTACAAAAAATCAGCAGTTGAGTATGATGTTGATATACTGTATCTATCAATGTTTGGAGCAGCAAACTTAACTTTGTATTATGCAAGGATCTCTTGCTTAAATTTGTCTTAAACCTGTTATGTATCAACCTCAATACAGAAAACTTTCTTTTTATATTTTAGAATGAAAATTCCACTGCTCAAATTTATTGGCTTCACATAATTACTATGTTTTTATCTCTCTATCTCTCTATCAAATTTATATGGCCGCCCATCTCACAAAAAAGTGACTCTGGGCAGCATACAACAATGAAGTAAAACAATAAATATATAAAAAGTCATTATTAAAAATATAAAAATCTTTATTAAAACATATAAAACTAAAGGCACAGGAGAGAGTGAATATTAACTGCAATAGTTGAGCCATCTTAAAATATTACTGGTCCCCTGGGAGCCCCAGGCCTGTTGACATAGTCATGTCTTGAGGGACTTCCAGAACAACAACAGGGATGGAGCTAACCTCACTTTGGAGGGGAGAATGTTTCATAAGGCAGGCGCCATGGCAGAGAAGGCCCACTTCCTGGGACCCGCCAAGTCTAAGTCCCTAGCAGATGGGATCCACAGCATGCCCCCTCTGCCAGATCTAATGGGACAGGCAGATGTAATCAGGGAGAGGCAGCCCCTTAGATAATCTGATCCCATGCCATGAAGGTTTTTCCTAATAAACTACCATTTTTTAAAGTTCAACAATTTAGACATTTTCCTCCCTCAGTTCATGATAAATAATCGCATCCACATCTCACTTTATAACCTAATGGTTCTTAATAGTCTTTGAGAGACAATCTTAGTGCAATTCTTCATTTTTATTATTGATTTATACTCCATCTTTCCTCTAAGAGCTCATGGCAGATTACACGAAAGCATTGCTTTATTTTATTCCCACAAGAATTGTATGAAATGGATTGAATGACTTAAAATCATCCAGTGAGTTTCCATGGCTGAGCCTTCTCTTGCTGTATTTTCCTAGTAACTGGTCACCTATTGTGATTTATAGACTTTTCTCCATGAATTAGTCTAAACCTTTTAAAAACTATTATTGCAATGACCATTGCCATATCTTGTGATAGCAAATTCCATAGATTAACTGCACATCACTAAGAGAAGAATCACTTCCTTTTGTTTTGTCTCCTACTGTTGAGCTTCACTGGATGATCTCAGTGTTTGAAGTAATGGGGGGGGGGTGTTGATATATTCCCAAATAAGTTTAGTGGATGGATGAAAGGAGTGTGGAAAACAGTATCTGTGATTCCTCCTTCCTGCTCTGGAGGTTTTGGGAATATTCTGGAAGAGCATGAAAGCCCATTTGAGATATTATAAGTAACTATAGCAGTAACTTACCTCCTCATGCTAAGCTAATACTAGCGCCTTTTCACAGCATCATACTGATATAATAAACCTATCATCTCCACCTCCATTGATGTACTAGTTTTACTTTATTTATATGTATTTTTCCTTTAAGAACTCAAGACAGTATATCTTATCTCCCCCATCCCCCCGACTATCCCTATTTTGCCCTTAAAAAGTCCCCTATTAAGAAGTAGGTTATGCAGAAAGACGGGGCCTAAAATCACCCAGTGAGAACGAATATGTGAACCTGGATCTCCTCATCCCTAAAACAGGACGTGAACCGTTATACCGCTCCTATTGCACCCGTCGCGTCGTCTAGATTGCCGTTCCACGCTAAAACAAACGAAGCCACGCCGAAAGCTTTCCTCTTCCCATCAGCGCGCCATCTCCCAGCCTCACTCCCTTCTTCTCCAGTTCCGAGGTCCAATTCCCCTTTCACCTAAGCCTGCCATTTCTTCTGTAGCCTTAAAGACTGGCCAAGCACTGCGGTTGCGCGACAGCAGGGAGACTTGCAGCGGAGCGCAGTGCGCCTGCGTAGCCCCCCCCCTCCCACGCTGCTGTTGCTGGCGGAGGCTGAACCTCACCTGTGTGCTGTCTCCCTGTAAGGTACGTTCCAGGTTGCGTCGTGAGAGTCGCTCTGGGGTGGGAGCGCTTGTTCTGTTCCCTGAGGCTGACCCGTCCGTTTCTTCCTCGACCTGCGCGGCTTGTGCTTGAACTCCTTCGCTGAAGACAAGAGGCGAAACGTCTTTTCCCCATGGCGGACTTCCGCGCGGGTGCTGGGAATATTCCAGTACACCAGCTCTCCCCATTCGAGTCCTTGGGCTGGATTTAATCCGTAATAATCAGGGCGGCCATCTGGAGGACACCTCGATGGGGGAGGCTGCTCCTGTCCCTTCCCGTGGCCTGGATGTTCCCGCCTTTCCCCCTTTCCTCCTGACAGTCCTGTTACGCACTCCCAGGCCCCCTCGGAGGGAAATACTTCATACTTTGCAGGTAGATGCTTCTCTGCCCTTCGGTGTGACGGAGCTGCTTGGGGACGGGGGTGGGGATTCAGTGCAGATGGAAAGGAGAAAGGACACCTAGCGATTGTCGATATCTGGCCATTGAATTAAGTCCAGAGCAAACAGCGCCGTAGCCACGCTCTCAGGGTAAGATTTGGAAAGAAAGAGCACAGAAAGATTCTAACCTCTTCTGCCGCTTTATCTTGTGCATATTAAAGGGAGTCCGATTGAAGACTTTGTTTCGGAAAAGCGGGATTTTAACATTATCACTGAGAGAGAAATTGTTGAACTCACGTACGTCAAAAGGTTTCAGGCAATCTCAGAAGGTCTCAACAA